ACCAAGAGCACCACATCGCCTGCCATGAAGTTTCTTCTAGGCTTCAGCCACTTCTGTCGCTCCTGCAGAAGTGGAAGATACTCGCGTGTCCAACGAGCCCAGAATAAGTCCGCGAGATACTGGACTTGTTTCCACCTTCTTCTGGTGTAGACATCATCTTCGCTGAAGACACCTGGAGGCAGAGTTGGTTGAGCCTTCAGAAGCAGCAAATGGTTTGGGGTTAAAGGCTCTATGTCATTGACATCATCTGAAACGCTTGTGAGCGGCCTGCCGTTAATTATGCTCTCGACTTCACACATTACTGTATGTAGACCGTCATCGTTCACTGACTGATCTTTCAGCAGGGAATTGAGGATTCTTCGTGCAGTYCYAATTTGCCTTTCCCAAACCCCACCRTGATGAGAGGCAGCTGGGCTGTTGAATATCCACTTTATCCCCTTTGGTTGCAGGACTCTCTCAATTCTTTCATTATCCAACTGTTGAATGGCTTTCCTTAGCTCTCGTTCAGCCBCCACAAAATTTGTGCCATTGTCTGACCTCATGGTGGTGACTTGACCTCTCCTACATACAAAACGGCGAATGGCGTTTATGCAGGAGTCTGTGTCAAGGCTGTCGGCAACTTCAATGTGCACAGCTCGGAGAGTAAGGCACGTGAACATTACCCCATATCTCTTAACAGTACCCCGGCCCCGTTTAACCTCAAACGGGCCGAAGTAATCAACACCAGTYTTCGTGAAAGGAGGTTGGTCTGGGAGYAGGCGATCTTTAGGTAAGCTTGCCATCTTTTGCTCACCAACCTTGCCATTCATCCGACGGCACACCGTGCATTGACCGATGATCTTCCTGATCGCAGAATTGGCTTGTGGAATCCAATATTTCTGTCTTACTTGTGCCAACACATAARTGCGTCCACAGTGGCCTGTTCTTTGATGTACGTCCCTCAAGATCAAAGTYGCAACTTTGCTATGTTTAGAAAGAATCACTGGGTGTTTGGTACTTTCTGGCATAGCAGACTTGTTAAGTCTTCCACCTACTTTCAAGGTGTCATCTTGAAGAGTCGGGTCAAGTTTATACAGCACACTGTTGCGACTGAGTTGGCTTCCATTCCTCAGGACCTTGATTTCTTCCTCAAAGTGCTGTCTTTGACTGAACTGTATTATTTCTGCTTCAGCAGCGTCCAGATCATCCAAGGTGAGTATCGTCTTTTCAGTTTGAAATTTCTTCATATGTTGTTCTTACTTTTTTCTTTGTTTTTCAGGGTCAAGTTCGGTCTGGCTAATTGTTCTTAATGCCCTTTTGCATTCTTCTTTACGCTCCCTCAGAGCATCCTTTACCTTTACAATCCAAGCCACGGATCGTTTCAATTTGCTCCAATCAGAGTGATAAGCAAGTAGCTGGTTCATTGGTGCCATACTTTCTTCAACTTTGACCATGTGAACAGCGACTGTGTTCTTGACCTCCGGGTCATCTTCTAGGCTTTCCTTCTTTCGCACAGGCTGTTCTGGCCAATCCTTTTCATTCAGCAGAAAGTCTGGTCCACTTATCCATATTCCTCCTTCGACCAAACTCTTTGCCTTCAGGCCTCTGCTGGCTTGATCTGCAGGATTCTCATTTGTTCRMACATACATCCATTGTGAGGGTTTGGTTGCTTCTCGGATCATCGAAACTCTGTTAGCAACAAACGTTTTAAAACGTGCCGTGTCACTGTCGATGTATCTAAGCACCGTAGTYCTGTCTGTCCAAAAAACAGATTGTCGCAGTGGTATTTGCAATTCTTCGTGCAACATCTTGTCGACCTTCACTGCGACAACCGCCGCGGTCAACTCAAGCCTAGGGATTGTGACTTTCTTCAGTGGGGACACTCTTGATTTTCCCATAAGGAAAGCACAGTGTTTCTCGCCATGTTCATTCTCRAGCAGTAGATAAGACACAGTGRCGTAAGCGTATTCTGAGGAATCTGAAAAATGATGCAACTGCGCTGAGGTAGTGCATCCGAAGTTGGTGGGTTTCAAACATCTACTCACATGGAAGTTGGAGAGGTAGGTGATATCTTCGAGCCATCTGCTCCACTTTTCAGCATGCTTTCCATCAATGTTTTCATCCCAGTCAAGATGTTCCTTARAGAGATCTTTCAACAAAAGTTTAGCAGGCAAGATAACCAGCGCCAGAAAGCCAAGAGGATCGTAGATGGAGTTGACGATTGATAAGATACCTCTTCTGGTCACTGGCTTGTCTTGTAGCTCTATTTTGTACAGGAAAGTATCCGATTCCGTGTCCCACTGCACACCAAGAGTTCTTTCRACTGGTAGAGTGTCGTGTCGTAAATCCAGGTCTCTGACTTCAGTGGCTCTGTGCTCTGCAGGGATTGACGTTAGCACCTTTCTGCTGTTGCTCATCCACTTTGTTAAAGTGAACCCTCCACTGCTACACAAAGCTTGAAGTTCCTTGACTAGTCTCACTGCATCGTTTTCTGTGGCTACACTTTTCAGGCAGTCGTCTACGRAGAAATGGCGCAGGACTGTCTGAACTGCGTCCGGAGATGCAGTGTCCCTGTGATCCTCCGCAGTTCTTCTCAGTGCATATGAGGCCACACTTGGAGAAGAAGTGGCTCCAAAAAGGTGCACTGTCATTCGGAATTCCTCCATAGGCTCGTCTAATCTGCCYTTGGGCCACCAAAGAAAGCGGAGTAAATCTGCATCATGTTCTGGCACCTTAACTTGATAGAACATTGACTCAATGTCTGCCATTATTGCTACAGGCTCCTCCCGAAATCTGAGGAGGACACCAACCAACGTGTTGGTCAYATCAGGCCCCTGGAGCAACTCACTATTCAGACACCGATCCTGGTAGGAGGATGTGCAGTCAAATACCACCCGAAGCTTCTTCTTTTTTGGGTGGTAGACTCCATGGTGCGGTATATAGAACACCCTGTTGTCCTCTCGAGTCAGTTGATTTGTTGGAACCCGGACTGCGTAGCCCTTGGTAATGATTGCTTTCATGAAGTTCTTGTAATCTTCAAAGAACTCAGGACTCTTCCTGAACTTCCTTTCCAAAGACGCAATGCGTTGTTCTGCCACACTACGATTATTAGGCATCTGGAGCTTCTCATTTCGAAGTGGCAATCCGACACAATAATGCCCATCCTCAAAAACTGTTGTCTTTTRCACAGACCGCAAAAATACTGGTTGTTGGACAAGCTGCAAAGGTGGTACAACGAACTAGAGGGATGCAGAGTGCCACTACATAAAGTCAAAAAACTGTGTTGCTTCCACCGCATCTAACTACTGCCTTACGCACGTTTAAGGTCAGATTGCAGTTAGATGCGGTGGAAGCAACACAGTTTTTTGACTTTATGTAGTGGCACTCTGCGTCCCTCTAGTTCGTTGTACCACCTTTGCAGCTTGTCCAACAACCAGTATTTGAATCACGCAATCTGTACCGAGCCTTTTCATTTTCTGTAAATGTATMTTTTGAGTTCTTTAAGTAAACATCGTAAAAGAAGACTTGGTTTCAGTCGCGTGATTCAAATACTGGTTGTTGGACAAGCTGCAAAGGTGGTACAACAAACTAGAGGGACACAGAGTGCCACTACATGAATGAATGAATGAATGAATGAATGAATGAATGAATGAATGAACGACTCACAGCTCGGGGTTTTTCTCTGGAGTTACATTTCTTCAGATGTTTCTCCAGTTTGTCTTCAGTCACTGTGCTGAAACAGAAACAACATGATCACAAATAAACGTGTAAATCCAGCTGAACTCAGTTATTGAGAGGGTTTAGTGTTTAATGGTGAAAGACTGAGGTTGCTGTGAAACACCACTGAAAGTGCACAAGTTCAACAGGTAAACCCATGTATTTATACATACCCAGTGTGTTTACTCTAAACAGATTTGTGTTAACATTCCTTTAATTGTAGATGAGAATTTACATAAATATCAAGCTATAAATGTGCCTTTAGAGTTTAACCTGTGTTTACCTGGTTGACCTGTGACCAGAAGAGCTCAGCTGCACTATGTGCACCAACACTAGTGATTCATTTCTAACTACACAACTGTTGATTACACTAATTCATCCTGTATCAATTACTACAGATGATCAATGACTACAATCAGCTGATCAGAGACCTGATGGATGGTTTGACTCACTGTTTGGGGTCCAGAGGACAGGGGATCCTCTTGGTTCCGCCCACTTCCTCCTGAAACAGGAAACGCATCACAGCTGATCAATGGTTCTAATCAGTGATCAGATGCTGAAGGTGTTTCATTGTGAAACGGATCAGGACCATCTGAGACCAAATACTTTCCTGCAGAAAAGTATTTTTAAAGATTTAACTGAAAATTAAACTTTATTTAATTCATAAAAACAACATGTATAAACAGTCAAATAAAAAGAGAATCTAAAACAGATCAAAAAGCTCTGGAGCCAACAGCAGCTCCCCTGAAACCACCCGGACCAGGACCCTGCTGGACCTCTGTCCCCGTGCTTCGAGCGCGTGACCTCACCATGGTCGCGTGCTCGCCACAGAACCGTTTCCCTTTGCCAACGATCATRTTACAGAATCGGTTCTTTCTCTGCACGAAGAAGCCGCACCTGCCGGGGGCCGCCATGTTGGACACCGAGAGGCGTTCAGGTGCTGCCAGAACTGTGGGATTTAACGGACTGCTTCACTGCCAACAGGAAAAACACAAATAAAAATCCGTACTAGAGTGAAAACATGATGTTTAATTAAACTTCACACGAGGGTAGAACTAAGAAGTAATCAGATTTTTCTTGTTTTACTGCAGAAACAGTTTATAAATCTGAGCTTTTAACATTTAAATTTAATGTATTTGTTATTAAAGTATAAGTCTTACGAGTAAAACACTCGGCATTTTTTCAATCAAATTCCACTTATTTATAAATGTTTTTTATTTGTCTTAAACGTTATTTAGTTTTTTTGTTCTTGTGGTTTTGTTTTCTCCTGAAGATCACCTGAACACTTCACCCTCTGCTCTGATTGGTCCACAACTCGGTCCTCTTTCTTTGATTGGTTGTTCCAATGTGTCAATCACCCTCTGGCGTCTGTCGGGCGGAGCCAGCGTGACCGTGCGTATGACGTCACCAGTGAGCGGCCGGAATGATGGCGGCAGCGCGGGGCGGCGGTCCCGGTTCCTCTCGGCCCGCAGCGGCGGCGGACCACTCGGTGCTGGTGGTGGTGGGAGCGCTGCGGTCCCCCGGGCTGCTGGAACACATTCTGCGGCAGGTAGAAACAGGTGAGCGCGCTGTGGAGGGCAGGAGAACCGAGCTGCAGGACGGGAAGTCCGCGGGCCCTTCACAATAAAAGCCTTGAGCTGCTGGTGTTGTGACCGACGTGGTGACTCGCTTTATTTCACGTCGCTGTGAAGTTTGAGTTAGRTGTGAAGAGTTGGTGCTCTCACATCTGAAGAACTGTTAACCCTTCAACGGAACTACTTCCGGTTTGAAAAGACAAAACATRTAACTTCTTATTTCTGTGACCGGAAACAGAACCTGGAGAACCGTGTCTCCGAACTGGACTTCGGTCCGGTCCAGCCCCGTGTTTATGTGCAGCTAAACTTAACTTTTCATATCAACCTTTATTTTGAAAAACAATCCAACCGGATGTTGAAAGTTCGGGTTCGGTCCAGAACCAGGCAATCATTGGTTGAATCTTACAGAGCAGTTTGATTCAGTGGTTCTGGTCCAGTTTCTCTATTAAAACCCTAGACACATGTTCACAGTCAGAACCAGAACCAGAACCCGGTCCAACAACAGAAGGTCCCGTGCTGTGATTTATCTGAGGTAGAACTCAGAACATGAAGGTTCTCCGGTCTGGACAGAACCTCCAACACATGGACCAGGGTTCTGAACTGGTTCTGTGTGAGCTGCTACATGCTAACCTTTAGCCTTTAGCCTTTAGCTCGGTGGCAGCTGCTACTGGTGGCGGCCATCTTGAACTGAGTTCTGCTGGTCTTTAACATCATCAGGTCCAGGAGCTGAACCCTGACAAGGTCCAGTTAGTCCACTCACTGAGACACTCTGAAGACTGTCCACAGCTGAGGACAGGTCTGAGGACAGGTCCAGTCTGACNTCAGACTGCTTGGGTATGTTTCCGGCATGAACAGGTATGCTGCTGTGAGTAAACACTTTGGGCAACTCGACGTACATACTGTCCTCCAGCCCACACACCTTGAGCTCTGATAGAACCATACTGTCCATGAACTTCTGTTTTTCTGGTGCATCTTGACCCATGGTGCTGAGYCGTATTCTGGTTGGTTTCCCTTTCACATTCAATTTCTTTTMTAGGTCTTCTGTGCAGAATGTTGCCGTGCTTCCCGGGTCTAGAAAGGCGTACGTTTCCACATARTGGTCACTATTCTTCGACTTGACTTTCACCGGTACTATCCACAGCACACAATCAGCTTCTCCGGCCCCTGTGAGGGCGCAAGACTCCTGTGTGATGGGAACCTCAGCAGCTGGCACCTCTTCARCAGTAGCGCCATCATTCTTTCTTGGTGAGGCGGAACTGTCATCRTTTTGTTTGTGCAGAATYTCAGGGTGCTTAAATCCACATTCTTTGCACTCTAATTTTCGTTTACAGGATTTACTGAGATGACCAGGGATCAAACAACTAAAACATAGACCCTTTGATTTCAGGAATTCCACTCGTTCTTGATGAGACTGTAATTTGATCTTACTGCATGAAGCAAGAGCGTGTGACTGCTGACAGTACAGACAGGGTTTATCAAAGGCGTTCACCACTTTTCCACTGCTAGCAGGCTTGACCTTGGCAGTTCTTTCTTGAGACTCTTTGGCTTCAGGAACAACATTGGTTGCAAAACTGCTTCCACGAAACTCCTTTTTCACGGCCTGCTTTCCTTTTTGGTTCATCTTTGCAGCTATGGGTGAGCGGCTATCAGATATGTCACCAAAGAGAGGATCGATTGCTATCTGAGCTTGGCGGTCTATGAAGTTCACTAAATCAGTAAATCTGGCCCTGTGACCACGTTGTTCTTTGAGATTGAAAGCTTCTGTTCGCCAACGTTCTTTCATTTTATAGGGCAGTTTGGATATCAACATGCGCAGATTGGTAGGATTATCCATCTCTTCTAAGAACTCAATATCTTCCATAGAGTTACGACATCCTATCAGGAACATTGCGTAAGCATTTAAAGCTTTCCCATCATCTGCCTTCACTTGTGGCCATTTGAGAGCTTTCTCCATGTACGCACTGGCGATTAGAAGTTCATCTCCATAATGCTTATGCAGAAGTCGCTTAGCTTCTTTGTAGCCCTTGCTTGGTGTCATGTGAGCGCAACTACGAACGAGCTCTTGGGGCTCACCATTTGTAAYCTGTTCCAAGAAGTATAGTTTATCTTGGTCATTGTCTGTTTTCTGCTCTATGGCATGTTCAAATGCTCTCATGAATGACTTGAACTGCAGTGTATCACCTTTGAACACAGCAATGTCCTTTGTAGGTAGCTGKGAAAGCTGTTGTTGCTTTACTAGCAATTCAGTTATTGCGTTCTGCTTCTGCATGACTGACACAATGTCATTCCCTGTTTGTGTTCTAGGAGTTTGGTTTGAGACTGTCGYTAATTGTTGTGGCATTTGTMTGCGCTGCACTTGTCTTGYTGCTTGAACATTCATTGTAGCATGTTGCGGTAGCGACATGCTAACTCTTTCCTTTTTTATGTTCCTACTTATTGATTTTTGCACTGACACGATGCTACCTCTGTCATCTTCCAATGTTTCATACTCTTTAAGCACTTGTATTCTTGCTTGGCTTTCAGCTAATGCTGTCTCCAGTTCTAATTCTTCCTTTTTAGCTTTAATTCTAATTTCTTGYAATTCAAGCTCCTGTCTTTTCTTCAGCGCTTCTTGTCGTTTCATTAAAGCGGCATGCTCTGCTTCCTGACGGGCACGTATGGACGATACACGTGAGTCGTTGGAAGTGTTACTTACATGAGAGTGTGCCTTAGCAACATTACTGGCCCATATCTGTGAAACACTGTCACTAGGCAAAACAGCATCTTCTTCGTCTGTCARTTGTTCAGTAGGATCATCTAAGAGCAAGTTTTCCCCCTCTGTGGAATCATGCACTCCTGTCAGCCATCTTTTAGTTTCTTTCATGAAGCCTGTTATCTGATCCATTTTAGGTTCGTACCAATTATTTTGGTCGTGAATTTTTTCCTCTTCAGACAGCAGACTGCAAACTTCCAAATTGAGCCTATTAAACTCGTTTAGAGACTGTGCAAAATCGCTCTCCATCTTAAGCTGAACACTTTCCACATTTTGAGCATCACACTTCAATGTCTCTATCTCTTTAATTTGGCTGGTTAGAGTGGCTAACGTTCGTCTTCTCAATCTTATGAACTGTTGTAATCTCTCTTCCAAGCCCTTCTCAGTTAGCTTGCGCTCTCTCCCCTGTTCCAATTTATCCTCGCCACGCGTGTCAGCATCTCCTTCAGCCATCTTATATTCGRGGAGTAAATGTGCAGTAAGCAGGCACAAAGTTTAAAGCACTTACTTCAAAGATGCCTTTCTTGTWTAACTTTAATGTTCGTCGGAGCTCCTTCATTTATCCGTATGACGTCTTTTCTTCACAATATTCAAAGATGAAGAAGCCTTTTTGTTACCTTTTTCAGTCTCTTTTTCTCTCAGCGAGACACGAGCTTCTTTTCTTCACAGCCGCGTTGTCCAGGCATTACAAACCAGGAGGCTCCATTAGCTAGTTTTTTGACTTTWTGTAGTGGCARTCTGCGTCCCTCTAGTTCGTTGTACCACCTTTGCAGCTTGTCCAACAACCAGTATTTGAATCACYCGACTGAAACCAAGTCTTCTTTTAGGATGTTTACTTAAAGAACTCAAAAAATACATTTACAGAAAATGAAAAGGCTCGGTACAGATCGGTCAAAAAACTGTGTTGCTTCCACCGCATCTAACTGCAATCTGACCTTAAACGTGCGTAAAGCAGTAGTACTAAGGTTACGTATTACGTAGTGGAAGCCAAAATTCCTTTCACAATAAAAGCATCCTTTTTAAATTATCTAAGTTATACATTCTAGAAAATATACTCATCATGAACTGAATTCTCCATTAACTGGCTCTTACACATCTGGTTACTCATTGTTTGGGTTTGGTTATATTTTGCAAAATATTTGTCAGTGATTGTGGCCATCAGGGACGTTGCTGTGATGTGATTTTTTGGTTAGCTGGTCCCCTGCATTTTTTTGGAAATGCCCAGTCACTTATCAATAAACAAAACAGAAGGCCTCAGAGGTAAATAAGATAAAACCATGGTTAAATGTGTTGAGACTAAATACGATGACCGTGAGTCTGCAAAAACATTAGCGCGTATTTGCAGTTTCACGTACGGATCTTTTTAGTTTACACATGTGGGGTATTTCAGATCTGACCTTATTTGCCCACATGTTATTGCAAAACAGTCTAAAGCACTCTAGTGAGGTTGGGGGGGGTCTACCCTCCTTCCTGCGTTGCGCTGCACGCGTTTCGTACATCGGCTTATCTCACAAAATTCCATTTTGCCACATCTTCGATGCTGTTTCAGGTTGCCTCAGCCATTTCCAGGTTTTTTATCTCCCGCTGAGACTTATCTGGGTGGCTGGTGGGGATCTGTTTCAGCACCACGACCCGGGTTCGCTCGTGCTCGCTGGTTCTCACCTGGAGGCACAGAAGGGAGTGGGATTACCCGGCTCGGGGGTGCACGTGAGACCGTGTGTGAGGTGATGATGTCATCAGTTCTCCCAAACAGGATTTTAAGTTACTTCCATAATTACATAATGGGACAACTGCGAACCTGTTTTCACAGGCAGTTTCCTGGAAGCCAGTCTACTGTATTACATTGCTATACTGAATGAGCTAATGCTAAATGTAGCAGAAATGAGTGCAGTTTGTATACAGAATATGACATCTGGTTTCCCCTGGCTTTGTTCAGAGAACAGAGGCTTTGTTATTTATAAATGACAGAGAACTGATGTGTTAGAGTTTTATTGTTTCTTAAACTAAAATTATAATCATTATCAGTTTCACACACGGAAATGTCTGTCTGACAGAGTGTTTTTGACTTATTTCTAATTTTTTTTTCTCTCTGTGTTTTTGTGATTCTATTTTTTTCACAGGGACAATGCTGTTTCTCATGGGGGGGTGATGCTCCATTTCCACCTGGACCGACTGGTACTGCGCGCCACCTCGCGCTAGCCATTTCCACCTGGCGTTTTCCTGGGGGTCCTTTCGAGGGATGACCATTCGTTCCAGCATCATCACATTCACCTTGGGCAGGCCGTATTTCACGGCTGCTATCTTTCTGGGCGAGGGTTCTACAACGCTACACCTTCGGCCCTTACTGTTCAGTTGTGGTTTCTGATCACACACACACCCTGCCTTATTTGACATAATGAGAACAGAACAGTTTTACACAGTGTGTGAATGCTTTTGCCACACTGTTTTACATTCTTTCCGCCTCCATGAAACTTCGATTTGTCCCATCTGCTATACCAAACTAATTTGTGCATTTCTGACTGGCTTATTATTGTGAATTTTTAAATAACCCACCAGTTTAATTGCAATGCATTTATGTCCTCACGAAGCCTGGGTTGATATTTGGCTCCCCC